TGACATGCTCTTTCGCCTTCTTTATATCTTGGCTCAAATAGTACATTTCAATGAGTATGTCTTCCGGTGAAATACCTGAGTTATTAAAAAACATACCAAAAAAGTGTGTTTTATAAAGGATACATAACAATAAAATGCTTTTCCTTTGAAATGAGATTGAGGTTCACCCTTTCTTCAAAATCACTATTAAAAGAGTTAACATACCAAAATGCATGGATTTACCTTCATATTGAGGCACCCAACGACCATACTCGTTGGTCATCTGACCTCTATTTTAAATCTCTCTCCCTGCTACCATCCGATTGTAATACTCCCAGTCCTCCATCCTGCCCTGTGTTCCTCCCTAGAATTTATCAGCTTCTGACATACTAGATAACTAGTAGCTTATCAGTTTTTCATTCTTTCTCATCATAAGTTCTGTGAAGACAGAGTAGTATTTTCTCCCTGTTGTGCTCACTGACTTATCCTCAGTACCTCAGCCAGGCACACAGAAACCCTAAACAAATGAATGACTTCACAGAGAGCATGTGAGCCTTCTGCCTCGTCAGCTCTTTCCACAAGCTCAGGACAAAAGAGGCTTCCATGCATTTTCCTACCTCAGAAGGAAGGACCCTGAATGTACAAAGCTCTCATACCGTCTCTGTTAGATGCAACATAATTCTTATAATTCAGTCAACAATAAGGATACTTTAATCCTAAATTCTTAGAACAATCAAGCACTCCTACTAAATTTTTCCACCAAATTCTCACGGAGACACTAGGCTGATCAGAACACCCAACTATAGTCTCGATTATCAGTAAAGCCCTTGGTTTCACCTGCAGTTTTATAAGAAGCCCACTCTTTTACCCCCTGCTGAGATGTCAATAGATTGTTGTCCCCCTCCTCATTCCCTTTTCCACCTGGGGTGCTAGCCTTGAGAAACTAGGCTACTACCATTCTTTTTCCCATTATACCAGGTTTCACTAGCCAAGCTTTTTAGGAAACTGCCCTGCTCCATTGGTTAAGAGTGGCTTCATGGATCCCCCACCTAACAGATGGGTGCCCTTTGGGACATGGCCTAATCAGCCCATGCTTAGTCTCCTCACAGGGTACGTATCACTTAAGGCACCGTAGACCCCTAAAGCTCTGTGATTGGCACTTTGGTAGGACCTAGGAAACAGTGGTTATTATGGCTCCATAATTCCCAACATTTCTCTCTCCTGCCTGCCCCCACTCATCTTGGTAATTGGCAGCAGCACTGCTCTCAATTTTTCCTTCTCCCTATGTCCTTCTTCCAGGTCTTACAGCATTCTTAAAACTTCTAGTTTGGGGGTGCCTGGGTGGCTCGGTCAGTTAAGCATCTGACTCTTGATTTTGGCTCAGGGTCCTGAGATCAAGCCTGGCGGCGGGCTCCACGTTCAGCGAGGAGTCTGCTTGAGATTCTCTCTCTCCCTCTGCCCCTCCCCTTGCTCACGAGCTGTCTCTCTCTAAAATAAATAAATCTTCTTTTAAAATTGAATAAATGAATAAATCCTTCAAGTGTATAGTCTCCTTGCCTCATTTTAAACCTTTTTGTAAGTCTACAGCTGTAGAATGTATTAATGCCCAGGACTCAAAATGGAGTCCTTTTGGGCTGGAGTGGGAGATAAAAATGGATTGGGCCCCCACTCAGAAGGAGCGTCACATGCAGACGACAGGCGACACGCTCCCCCTTCCAGAGTTTTAAGTCTCTCACTGCAATCCCAGAGATCATCCCAGAGTCCTACGTCCCAACAGGGAAAGAAAATGTGTAGTTCTCTGAAACAAGATGAAACATAAAACCTGGTATTTCAGGAAGCCAGTTTCTTATGAAATCCAAGTCATCATTTTATTTACTTTGCAACTGTTGTTTTTGAAGGTGCAATCCAAAAGCAAAAATAATCTGTGAGCACCACCTTGTGGAGAGATCTACAACGACCACATCAATCTTTACTCACTGGACGCGTATTTAAGGCACCGGTGCTGGGGAGAGAGAGATAAACAGACAAAAGTCCCAGGGTTCATGGCGCTTAGTTTCTAGTGGAAGACAGAAAATAAACAAGATCAGTAAGTGAAATACATGGGAATACATGATGTATTAGAGGGTGCTGAGTGCCATGGAGAAAAACAAAGCGGGGCAGATCAGGGTATGGGGACTGCAATTTAAAATTTCATGGCCAAAGAAGGCCTTACAGAAAAGGTGGTATTTGAACAAAGGCTTGAGAGAAAGGAAAGGGGCCAGTCATCCAGTTACCTGGGATAAGAGCTGTGTAGATAGAAAGGCACACACGAAGCCATAAGTGGACATATGCTGGGCAAATTTGAGGAATTAGCACTGAAGGCAACACCCAGAGCAAGTGTGGAGTAGATGGCAGGAAAGTTCGAGAGAAAGCGGGGGGCACGTCACATGAGACCTCTCTGGTCATAGTAAGGATTCAGCTTTGACTCCAGATGAGACAGGAGCCTGAAGAGGCTGTGAGCAGAGAGAAGTAAGATGATCCAACTTTTTTTTTTAACAGGATTGCTTTGCTAGAAGGAGCCAAGGGCAGAAATGGGGGATACTGCCTTTAGACCCAAGCAAGAGTGGTGCCTGCCCCAGGCCCCATGCTTTAGAGGGTTCTGCATAAAACAAACACACAACATGTAAATTTACGATAGGGCCCAAGGCACCATTTTTAGAGATCAAGGCTCAATTCTAGCACAGCACAGCCTGCAGTCTTAAATACGTATTTCTACTACTACCCTGGGGAAACTCTTCTCCGCACCTCTGGCCTAATGTGCATCAGATAAAAGATGACCATCTCCAAATGCCATCGAGGCTAATGGGTTGTACTGCTGCGAACATAGGAGATGGACACTGCTTTGGGGTGTGCGCAGAGCTTGAGCAGTGAATGTGCTTAATTAAGTACAACTTATCAACTTCCTAAGATTATATCTCAGTTGTGCTGAGCATCCATTTCCTTGCTCTCTTTGTGTTCCAGTTTATCATTCTTGAAAATTACCTGGTGTTTACAACAGTTGCATGCTTAGTGGCTGGAAATATTAAACAATTCATATCGCCCTAAATTTGTATTTATGTAGGTCCAGACAGAAAATTCATGATGCATCTAGATTCTAGAATATTGTGTTGAGACGGCGAAAATGGCAATAGAAGTGACCGCCGTTTATATGATAAAATTTAAATATTTGCAAAACTGTTTACAATAGTGATAATGCATTATGCACAACCCCAATTACAATTTCTGAACATGATACGTACAATTTGTGGTTCATTTCCAGACCTTATGGCTAACTCAGCTACACAAACGTTCACCAAATTGAAATTAACTTTTAAAAGTTAATTTCTTAAATACAATGATTCAACAAAAGTGGTCTAATTTGGTCAAAGTATCAATAGAACATGAATTATGTGGAAATCTTGATCATGAAAACATGCATTTTGCTAAAACTCAGTTTTAAAAATAACATCTAGAAGATAAAGGTATAGTAATTCATGAATTAACATCTTTCTCTTACAACTCATCCAAATATCACCTGCCAGACACACACAATAGTAATGCAGTCCTATTTGATGTTTCATTAACTGTCAGTCATAAAAACTATAGCTTTTTCTTTCACTTTTTCAACGTAAAAATATACATTAAAGCAGGAGAATAGAACATATTTTAAGTAAGTATATTTTAAATGTATATATAAATCTCAAAAGGGAATCATGTTTTTCAACATTTATTTGTCCAGCAGAGCAAGACCATCATCCATTTCCCAATTTAACTCACTAAGCCTTGCAAATGTATGTAACTATAGGCCTTCATTGAACCAAGTTCCATTTGGAGTCAATAAATTAGTTTCTTTTAAAAATGAGGCCGCCAAATTATTATATATTCACAGTCATTAAATATTCATCCTACAAGTGAATTCCCAAATACTCACCTGTTCACTGAATAACCAGAATTAATTATTATAGACATGATGATAATGAAGCCAAAGAATTTATCCAAATTAAATGTCCTTCCATGAAGAAAGGAAGGCTGAAATTTTAGATCAATAGTGATTTAATTTCACTCTTGTATCTTTGGGGGACATTTAGTTTTTCTAAATACAATAATCTGATGAGCGGCTGGATCTTTGGTATGACTGAGCAATATCTTTATCAACTTTCCTTTATCTTTTACGCAACACACAAGTCCATCTAAAATGGGGTATTTTTATGGGCAAACCTTTACAGTGACTCATTTTAAAGACAGTTTAGCTAGTCTTTAGCATTCTTTCTGTGTATTCTCCCTGAATTCTACTAACAGGGGAATAGCTCCATTTTGTTGGAAGGCAATCCTCACAGTTTCTAAACATTTGAGAGATACCCGCCCATCATGTGTCACTTGTTAGCCTTACACTCACACAGAAAAGAGTTCCACACATTGATATGAGATATAGAAGATATTCAGTAATAACATATTTATTAATTACAGATGTCAATCATATTTCCATACAGATATTACCTAAATGGCATGAGAAATGCCATTATAATGCTAAATGAAAAGAAAGTTAGCTACAAAGTTAATAGATACGCGCTTTCAAGTACATATAAATATATTCTTTTAAAAAGGTGATGTCTTAAGGGATACCTGGGTGGCTCAGTTGGTTAAGCATCTAGCTCTTGGGCTCCACTCAGGTCACAATCTCAGGGTCGTGAGATCGAGCCCCACCTAAGGCTCTGTGCTGAGTGTGGAGCCTGCTTAAGATTCTTTCTCTCTCCCTCTCCCTCTGCCCCTTCCCCATTCTCCCTCTCTTGCTTGCTAGAAAAAATTTTTTTTTTAATTTTTAAGAAAAGGTGATGTCTTAAGATAGGCATAATAATTGACTCTAGGGATATCATTTCTTCTTACATTTTCTGCATTATTTTTATAATTATAAGAAAAATAATGAGTCACTCTTTTTAATCGTGCTACCTCATGTTGCCTGACTTATTCCACTGAACCTAAACTACAGTGCTGGAGACACGAGTTTATGGTGACATTCCAGAATTTTCCTCTGGGTACAAAAGGAACCCGGTAAAAATGCTGTCATCCTCAGGGCTGACATATACCCCGTTCCAATCTTTTGAAACTTCCAACCAGACTTGGTCCCCTGCACTTAATTTCAGGATGACGAGAAAAGAGGCCTGGTCTATTTCATGAGCAGAGAGCGTTTCTCTGGATTTGAACCTCTTCCTATCCCAGGCCACCAGGCTGACGTGAGCGGGTCGGCCCCTCACAGTGACATGGTAGGAGAAAACATACGCCCCAGGAATACTACAGTTAAATTTGCCGGTGATGGGGTTGTAATTCCCTTGGTCATTATAGAGAACCTTGTCAAATTTGATAGGGATGTCGGGAGGAGGGAAAGGCTTTGAAAGAGCAGCACTGAAAGCTGAGCGCTCGACTCTGGCTGCCTCCCCCTTGGAGCCTTTGAGGCCCCGAGAGCCCTTCTTGCCAATAGATCCTCGGACCCCTTTGCTCCCAAGCTCACCTTTTGGCCCTGCAGGTCCCACAAGACCAGGGGGACCTAACTCTCCCTTTCCCCCTTTAACCCCCGGCTCCCCTGGGGCCCCGGGCAGGCCATCTGGGCCACCTTTGCCTTCCGTTCCAGGATCTCCTTTGCTACCTTTTTCTCCTTTCAGACCCTCCTCCCCTTTTTCTCCTTTCCCCCCCCCTCTTCCCAGACTCTCCGCAGTGGCCCTTATCCCCCATCTCGCCCTTCTCCCCCTTGGCCCCAGGCTCTCCGCTCAAGCCTGGTGAGCCCGCAGCCCCCCGGGCTCCTTTATCTCCTCGGGTGCCGTTCGCACACGTGTCGCCCTTGGAGCCTTTTTGTCCCTTCACTCCTGCCAGTCCGATGTTTCCTCTATCCCCCTTAGGACCAAGGCCACCTGAAACGGAAAATTAAAACAATGCTTAAGGATCGCATAGACTATGAACAGAACCCTATCCGCACCGAGCTCACGGGACAGAAGCAAAACCTCGCGCCTGGGACCGGAGACCTGACTCTTGCGGCGGCCGCGGCTGTGCCGTTCACATCACACTGCTCTCTCGCACGGGGAAGAGTTAACGCCACCAAGAAGCCAGGGCTTCCATTTAGAGCTCATAAACCTAGTTCTATCTGTCTTTCACTTTTAAGGCACTAAAGAGTTTCGAACTGTAGTGGCCCATTATAGTCCGTTACACTTCGCATTTTGGCCCCACCCAAGTGTTCTCCTAAATCTCCATCACGCCCTTCCAAACCCAGCATCCTACTGGCAAAGAGACGGAAACCCACAAAGTTTCAGGGATCCCGTATCCCAAGGACAGCCAGACTGAGGTCACGAGTTCAGACGCTTGTATCTAGTCTCCAAACTACCAGACCGGTATTTGCTACACCCCAGCAATCAGTAGTACGCTGAATTATTAGAATAATAGCAATTCATATTCCATCTTACCTCCCGGATAACTTTAAGCACAAGCGGGAAGAAAATTGGGAGCTATGCTGTACACATGCCTGTACAGGATAGGTATAGTCTATGCTCTACCTGGTTCTCCAGGTTTTCCTGGGTATCCTGGAACTCCACTTGCTCCTTGGTCCCCACGTTCTCCCTTTAACCCTGAAATGATACCAAGATTACCTTTCTTCCAACTATAGTACCCATGATGTAACTAAGATCCATTTCCCAACCATGTCACATTCCAAGGCGTCCCTTACCAAAAATGCGTAAAGGTAAAACCACATGGAAAAATGATATATTGAGCATCATTAAGAATATTTTGTCCCAGTTGATGGTAAAACATTTAAAAGAGATTTGGGGATAGTGCCAATCTCTTCAAACAGAATTCAGCTTTTCCACCCCACCCCACCCCCACCCCACATTCACATAGCTTTTCAAATCTCTCATGAAATTCATGACATTTTGCCAGGTGTTACTTATGTATGTGTTTGTGTTTTTCTTCTCATGAATTCTGAATGACACTGAAAACATCCCCTTCTTTATATTCCCCACAATGCCTAAAAAAAGAGTGTCACCACCATGTAAGTTTAAACAAAGAGCGCAATATTCTGCAGTTAGCTAAAACTAATCATATCAAAAACCTTTCCAGGAAAGTAAATATAAATATAGATACAAATATAAATATAAAGTCCTTGACATAGAACATAAACGAGAAACCAATTTTCATTTTGTTTGGAAAATTTTTCATACACACTTTGGACAAACCGTAGAAGTGTGAGAATTTATGTTTGAAAAGAAATCTAAACATGCAGGTTTTTAGATATTTGCCAGAATGCCACAAAGTGGATTTTCATATTGGGCATGGCTAAAGGCCCATCCTGTTACAGTACAGCCACACTGAATTTATTTTAATTATAAATAATAATAGTTAACTCTTATTGAGCATTTCCTTCGTACCAGGTAATGTTCCAAGCTCTTAACATGATTTTTTAAAATTTAATCCAGCCTTTTAAATTCAAAATGAATTCTTATTTGATATTAATACAGCCTCTTGTATAACAGGGAGGCTCATATAACAGAGCACATGTCATTAATTGGAACATTTTTCACTTACAAAAATTTATAGCATCTCCCTTCGAGAAAGGTAGAGCAGATCTTTTTATCACAGAAAAAAAAACTGAGGTATGAGGGGCACCTGGGTGGCTCAGTCGGTTAAGTGTCTGCCTTCAGCTCAGGTCATGATCCTGGGGTTCTGGGATCGAGCCCCACGTTGGCCTCCCTGCTCAGTGGGGAGCCTGCTTCTCCCTCTCCCTCTGCCACTCCCCCTGCTTGTGCTCCTTCACTCTCTCTCTCAAACAAATAAATAAAATCTTTAAAAAAAACTGAGTTATGAAAGTTTACAAATTTGCATAGAGTCAAACATGACCGCATATAACACTGGTTGGCATCAATTTGCCAACCATGTTATTTATGATATAACTAACTTTTTTTGTTTTATTTTGCTGGGGAAAAAGAAATCCTAAGTCAAGTTACAAGTCATGAGAAGAGACTCCCCCAGATTTCACAAGACCAACTAGAGAAATTCCACCATAAGCTGCTCAGCAGTTTCCTAAGTAGCTAATCCCCTCCCATTACCATTCCACATAAAATTTACAATTTGGAAATTAACCCATAGGCCATCAGGAAAATGTCTGGATCCCTTTGGAGAGAACCGAACTCTGAATGGAAGTGAAGGACCAATTCTATTCCCCATGCTTGTCAATACTCATATGCCAACCATCACTGCACAGTTACTCTGGTTCTCAAATTCATTTAAGGAATTTAACTTACACTGGATGTACTTAATCAGGTTGTGGTTAACCAGAGTTGCAGTCATTCAACTCATTTATTTTTCTAACTTTCAGTCTTAACCAAGAGTCCAAGCTAAGTCTGGAAGTAAAAGGAAAGTAAAGCTGCCACTTTATAGAGACTGGCTGAATGAATTTCTACTTTTGATCCTTCATCAAAGCATATTCTTAAGAACCTTATCTTATGATACTTCCCTGTTTTTTCTTCTACTTCCAGAAGTCTAGCTTCCAAAAAGTATGAATCACTGGGGAGGTTCATCACTCATCTTTATTTCACAGGGTTTTCTGCTAACATAATACAGCCACAAAAGGATTAAATGTTTCTGAGAATGAAAATCGCATAACTGACAGGTGTGAAGTAGCTCTCTCACCTTAGCATTTTTTTGAGTAATTACTTCGCTGAATGTTCTACCAGAAACGAGTTAGACAGTTCCTGAGCCATGTGGAGGGTGATGTATAGATGATATTAGGTCTTTTGACATGTGACACTGAGGCTAAAACATTTAACTTGATGGATGGATGGTATTTCTACAGGCTGGCAGTATTCACTGAGGAATTTCTAAATGTCGCAGTGAATCTGCAACCTTCCCTCAATGTCTTGAAGCACTTAGAGAACCAGGGATTTCCCAGGGCAGGACACCCTCCTGGCTGATACATCTGTGGAATTATAGAATTTCTGAGCTGGAAAAGATCTATGAAAGCACACATAACCACAAATCTTCTTTGCTGGTAAATAGGGTATAAGTAAATATCTAGTCTATTCCCCCTTGGTTTCCAGATAAGGTAAAGGTCCAAGGTCATTCTTACAAACTCGATTTCTTTCATTTTAATTCAGTCCTCTTTTCCCACCGTAGGCATTGCCTAGATTTGAGCGAGCCAAAGGCCATGTCCTGTTCTCCTTAGCAGAGATGCTACCCACCTAAACAGAATGTTCTATAGGATTGCCTGCTGTAGTTAGTTCTATCTAATACAAAATTAATTTGTCTCATACGGAAGAGCTCACTCAGTAGTGTATAAGTGTATAAGGCCCCCCTCCCCCCCCCCAGAGACTATGCCCTGTGGCTCCCAGTCACTAGGTCACCTGTGTGGCCAATGAGAGATAGAAAAGATGTGTAAGAGCCTCTGTGTATGCAGGGGGAGGGAGATGGAGAGAAAGAGAGAAATGTTACCAGGAAAGTGTAAAATTTTTCAACAGGCTATATATAAAGTTAAGTAACTTACAACATGCTTTACCAAGTTTTTGCATTTTTAAAAGTGGTTCCACCTACAGGACACCTGGGTGACTCAGTCGGTTAAACATCTGCCTTCAGCTCAGGTCACGATCCCAGGGTCCTGGGATTGAGTCCCACATCAGGCTCCCTGCTCAGTGGGGAGTCTGCTTCTCTCTCTCCCTCTGCACCTTCCCCCGTCCATGCTCTCTCTCTCTCTCAAATAAATAAATAAATCTTTTAAAAAATTGTTTTATCTGCAAGAATATGGTATTTACTTTGCAAGTTGCTCGCCTGAAAAATGATGCAGAACACATCTTGAGTTTTGACATGAAATCGATATAATTACCTACCCTTCTCTCCTTTTTGGCCTTTTGGACCTTGGGGTCCGACAATTCCTGGTGGCCCTGGGATCCCCATATCACCAGCCTCTCCCTTAAGACCTGGAAATGAGATTTAAAAATCATCAGGATAAAAAAAATTCTCTTTTGAAATGCATTAGTTCTGAAAAAAAAATTTTTTTAAGCAGTCATTTTATTGAGACCAATGACTGTCAGTGTCCTAATAATAAAATCTGGGTAAGAATAGGGGCACCTGGGTGGCTTAGTCGTTAAGCATCTGCCTTCAGCTCAGGTCATGATCTCAGGGTCCTGGGATCGATCCCGGCATCAGGCTCCCTGCTCAGCAGGAAGCCTTCTTCTCCCTCTCCCACTCCCCCTGCTTGTGGTCCCTCTCTTGCTGTGTCTCTCTGTCAAATGAATAAATAAAATATTTTTTTAAAAAATCTGGGTAAGAATAAACTACTACATAACTCTCAGGACAATATTTTTGTCTGATTTGTAATTTCGTACTACCTGAATAGATAAATTGAGCCCATTAGTACTTGTCACTGGATTCATGGCAGCAATCAAATGATTCAGGGAAGCAGTGCAATATCGAACAACAAGAACAAAATGATTATCTGGCTCTTCACTTCACGTGGACCACACTTTCAAATTGGAAGTAAAACCACAATACCTAGCACTTTTGGTTTTCCCATTCACTCGCTTATGCAATTCTTCAGGAACTATTGCTAAGGCACCCATACACCAGTACCCTGCTAGGTGCTCGGCATCAGCCATCGACATCCAGCTGTCCTTTCCCTCATGGAGCTGAGGAAGTTATCACATTGTAGTTAGTGATGTGAAAGAAAATAGGAAGGTCCTAGTATAGATTGTGGTAAGAGAACTAATTTATGGGAGCGGAGGAGACATCCCTGAAAAAAATGGCATTAAGCTAAGATCCAATGAACAAATTAGGATTTTCTGAAGCAAAAAAAAAAACCCATAGATGAGTATTTCAGGAAAAACAAGTGTGGAAAAGACCATGGTGTTTTCAAGAAACTGAAAAAAGAGCAGAGTGGGTAGAGCTAATGATCGGATGAAGGAGGCTGAGAGGCAGGCTAGGGTCACATGGTGCAGGGCTCAGACGTCATTGGGTATCCTGTCTCATCCAGGCAGTGCAGGTCCTTTCCACTTACCTGGGCCACACAGGGACCCTGAACCTAGGATAATTACCCTTCCTGCACACCCAGCCCTGTTCGAGCCATAGGAATTCTTTCACAACCCCTGACTGGAATAGTTTATGGCTACGTTCGTTGGAAGTTAACTATAGAGATAAGTGAGCTCAATGAAATTGTACTATTTCCTCTTAATTTTTGTAACTAAGGCCAATGGAATGGAGAAAATTATATTCAACAGAATTTTTCTTTGAAAAAACACTACATTTGTTTGGAAGAAGGTGCTTGTGATGGAGGTTAAAGCCAAAGGCAAACTCAAATAACCAAAGGTGGTGATTAAGTTCTATGTAGAAAAAGAAGGAGAGCAGAGAGGAAAGGAGTGAAGGAATGGGCAGTGCAGGCAGAAGCAAGCAAGATGGCCATTTGCGGTCCACTGTGCAATATCTCCCTTCCTCACGAGTCCCAAATGCCTGGCGTGGTTATACCACTGAGGGAAATAAAAAAGGGCAGTGCCCAGGTTGGCACAGGGAGCACAGGGAAACCACATGGGAGGGCACAAGGGGCAGCAAGGCTCCCTCATCCATCTAGGTGACACATACATGTGCGTGAGATTGGTATAAATACTGTAAGGCCGGACATATGGGAAGAGCAGGGGCTTGATGGTGCACAAACCAAATCTGACTCCACATTCTACACTTAGAGGCAGTATAACCTCTAGAATTACCTAAAACTCTTGGGATTGTGATTAAATCATTCACTAAAATGCAATAATATTTTTAACAGTTTGTGTAAGATTAGACACAGTAAAAAGTGCTTAATGGTTCTTGGCACATAGTAGGTAACTACAATTATAACTGAACTAAATGAGAGAAGCTGGAGATAAAATTTCACACAGAATCTTACCTTTGCTACCTATTAGCTATATCTGTACAGTTTAAGACATTTACATTCAGAAACTATTAGGCTTGTGACTTTTAAAGTCTATAGTTAGTATCTACATTACAGGGGATAATGTAAATGTCATGTATGCCATGTGTTGTGTGTGTGTGTTCATGTGGCCAAGAACTGAAAGATAATGAAGAAAAAATTAAAATAGTTGTGTTTGAGTAGGTTCATGTTCATTTTCATTTTCAAGTTTGATTAATGTCCCTCTTAAGCTGGATCTCTAATTTTTTAACAAAAGAGTATTTTTGAAACACTGGAAAAGCTAGAACAAGTGTCTATGAATCTCAGAAACAAGACCGTATCGGGCTACTTCCCAAGATAGGAAAAAGCTCCTATTACAGCTACTGGAAAAAGAAACACAGTTTATTCAGCATTTACCCTATCCCAGGTACTGCACTGAGGCTTTCTATATATATTACCTCATTCCGTCTCTTGATGACCCCATGAAGTTGGTATTATTCTTATCCCATTTTACTATTTTGAAAACTGAATACAATAGGTAATGAAGCTTCCCCAAGGTAGGACTGTGAGAGACAAGATATTCTGAGCTCTTAAATACTACGCTCTGTGCAGAACCAGTCAGACCAAAATATATGAGCCCTCCAGGCAGGCAAAGAATTTGGCACGTCTCCAAAATATTTGTCCTATGTATTTAAAGGAGAGACTCAGCTCGGAGAACAGCCCAGCTAATCCACTAGTCAGTAAAACAAAAGCTCTGATGCAACAGACCCATGGCCTTAGAAGACAGTTTAGCAACCAGCGGTGTTTACTTGACCATGCCCTTGGGGGTCTTCACCCCCCAAGCAGCTCACCAGCCAGATATGATACTAAGAGAAATTCTGGTAAATGTAATTTTCTCAGTATCATTGCATTTCCAATAATGTTTCAGCAACCCAGAAATCTCTGAGCCCTGACCACTGCCCAGCAACTGTACCCTTTAATTCCAGCTCTGCATGAATACTGATCTCATTTCCCAAAAGGTTCCTATTATAAGATGAAATGAATGAAAAGCTTAATGAGGATACACAATTCCTGATTTTATAACTTTAAGTTCTTTAGGCAAGACACAACAGATATATCTATATAGTCATTTTTCCCCCAGGGGATAGCAAATTTGAAATTGACATTCTGATCTCAATTTTACCTGAGTTCTCTGCTATATGACATGTAAAAGCTGACATGTATTACAGTAAAATTCAGCATATGCATCATGTATATATTAAAGGTATCTGGAATTTTGAAATACGTAACCATGATCTTCAATGGAGAAAACTGTGGGGCAAGGATACAGTGTTGCCTTGGAATTTCAATGAAGAGCCAACTGAATCCTGCCCCTTATTCTCCACCTCACAGACATGCCATTTCTAATCCAAACTACAAAAAGCACTCCAGAAACCCATCAGTCAGCACACACTCTAACTAGACAGCAGGATTTTCATTTACCCTTTTTATATCAGCCATTAATGAGATAACTGTACTGGTAGGAAATGCATAATTTGAAGAACCGCATGCCAGCACTTGGGTTGGTCGCCCAGTTTCTGCTCTAACCAGCACTGTCCAATAGAAGTTTCTGCAGTGATGGAAGTGCTTGTATCCATACAGCCCAATATAGCAGTCATTGGCCACATTCACTACTGAGCATTTGAAATGTGGCTAGTATGACTGAGGAACTGAATGTTTAATAGTAATCTTTATGTTTATTTTTATTAATAGCCACACATGTGGCTAACAGGCAACACAGCACCCATTTGCATTTGTTACCATGTTACACCTAAGCCTGTCACCATTTGTAGGACACGTAGAAACCCTCTGGGCAATTCTGCCTCCAACCCACCTCTCAGCTCCAAGGATACCCAGGTAACAAATATGGCTTTGGGTATTGTCAAGTACCTGGCTTTCCAGTCTCTCCGGGTTCTCCTTTTTGCCCTGGTACAAATGAACAACAATCACAGCAGTTGAAAAAGAAATCGGCCGTGTCAAGAGTGAAGTTTTCAAAGGGGAAGAGAGTGGTAGCGCCAAAGGCAGACTCTAGGGCTGGGGGGCTTGGGGTCGGTTCTGCCATTTCAGCCGCTTCCGTGAAAGGAATTTCCTCTTCTTCCGGAGCTGGGCCACTGGACGGCTTGAGACCCTTCGGCATCTCTTTTCCCTCAGATTTCTTTGTAAATTTGGTAGGTGGTGTGGTCTTTGCTACTGTGTCCATACCAGCGATCACCAAAATAATTAAAATGACACAAAGCCAAGAAAACATCCACATATTTGAGGCTGGAAGAAAGATATAATGGGAATAAATACACCTATTACATGAGATCCCAATGCAATTAGTAAGTGATATAAACATATAAGAAGGAAATATAGAGTCATATACGAACCACAAGAATAAACATTATGCATAATATTGAATGATATTTTAATGTATTTTAATGCAAATATATGCTTGAATCACAACAGGATATTTTATTTACTTAAAGTATTTATTATAAGGAACATTTTGCTTCAGTTCTCCTTTCTGGTTGTTTTCCTAGCATTACATGTTCTAAAATATTGTTCTCAATCATTCAAATTATCTTGCCAACTAGTAAACATGATCTATAATAAACGCAACACGACTTAATAGCTTATACACCCTGTGGAAAACAAATATGTATAATTTCCTGACTGACCTCACTCAGATTTATAGGAATCAAATACATTTGTATTAGAGGGAGATGAAAAATATTGAGCTAGGCAGTTTACTCCAGCAAACTCAATTATTTCAAGAAAAAATACTGGTGAAAGGGTTCTTAAATCTACTAGGGCTAATGGTCCTGTTGTGAGAATAATTTTTTAGAATCTATTGTAATAAATGGAGAGAGAGAGGGAATAAAAAATCATAAACTTGAAAATATGCTATGTCCTTAGATTCTTCACATGTCATTTAACTCTCCAATTCTTTGCTTTATAATTTGAGGAGTTTTTCTGAAAAGTCACATTGATCCTTGTATTACTTTAGTGGGGCAAAGAGTGACTCTTATTTTTTTTTAAAGATTTATCTATTTATTTGAGAGAGCGAGAATGAGAGAGAGAGAGTACATGAGGGGGGGAGGGTCAGAGGGAGAAGCAGGCTCCTCGCTGAGCAGGGAGCCCGATGCGGGACTCGGTCCCAGGACTCCGGGATCATGACCTGAGCCGAAGGCAGTTGCTTAACCAACTGAGCCACCCAGGCGCCCAAGTGACTCTTCTTATTAAGGCTTTTATTAACCAGAGGGATATGATATAAAGTTCCCAAAGAAGTGAAATTGTGAAGTTCTTAGTGGTGTGGTACCCAGCAACTCTCAGCAGTCCAGAGGCTGCTAACAGATGGCCAGGGTTAGAAATGCATGTTTTCTGGTTGGAAAAAGGAACAGTACAAGGGTAAAGAAAATGGAAATAAGGACAGTGATAACACCTAGTATGTATAGAGCTCCTATGATGAGTGGGTGCCTTACATTCATCAATCCAATCAGTTCTCAAAACAGCTCTGCCAGGTAGAAGACACACCACTGATCGCCTTCACGAATAAGGACACAGGAACCGAGAGGTTAAATGCCTCAATCAAGATCACACAATCAGGAAGCTATGAATTCAGAACTGAAATCCGGGGCTGTTTCACTTCAAACCCTCCACCCTTTCCCATGAATCACGTGGCATTTATAAGGATGAGATTAAAGAACAATAAATCCAAGCATAGGACCAATGGAAGAGCTAGAGAGGAGACAGAATAAGTCAGAACAGATGAGAATGGACAATGACAGGATGTTACATTTCTAAAATCATATAAAAATCCAAAAATGCTTACTTTCCTTCAAGTTGTCTTTGCTACCATATTCATCCACTCAGCCAGTATTTACTGAATATCAGCAATGTCACAAGCACTGAGAAACAAACATAGGCCATGGTCTCTGTCCTCAGGGACTATACAGTCTACCAGCAAAGATGAAAAACAACAAAAGCAGAGAAGAAAGTATGAAGGGCGAATGATCACACTGCATTTCCCCAAATACAGAGCCCATGCCCCTTTCTCCCCCCAGGCCCCTGCAAGAGTGAGCACATAAACCACGGTTACCAAGCATATCTATCCAACTCTCTCTCTCAAAATAAATAAATAAATATTTAAAGAAAAAAAAAGAATGAAACTGGACCACTTTCTTACAGCATACATAAAAATAAACTCAAAATGGAGTAAAGACCTAAATGTCAGACCTAAAACCATAAAAATCCTAGGAAAGAACACAGTAATTTCTTTGACAATGGCCATAGCAACTTCTTTCTAGATATGTCTCTTGAGGTAGGGAAACAAAAGCAAAAATAAATTCTTGGGACTATGTCAAAATAAAAAGTTTCTGCACCGTAAAGGAAACAATCAATAAAACTAAAAGGCAACCTACAGAACGGGAGAAGGTATTTGCAAATGACATATTTGACAAAGGGTTAGCATCCAAAATATACGAAACATACAATATACACACACACTCCAAAAAATAATCCAGTTAAAAATGGGCAGAAGACAGAATAGATATTTTTCCAAAGAAGACATAACAGACAGCCAACAGACCAAAGATGCTCAACATCACTCATCATCAGGGAAATGCAAATCAAACTACAATAAGATACCACCCCACACGTGTCAGAATGGCTAAAATCAACAACACAAGAAACAATAGGGGTTGGCGAGGATGTGGAGAAAGCGGAACCCTGTTGCATTGTTGGTGAGAATGCAAACTGGTGCAGCCACTCTGGAGAACAGTATGGAGGTTCCCAAAAAGTTGAGAATAGAACTACCCTACGACCCAGCAACTGCACTACTAGGTATTTACCCAAAGGATATAAAAATACTAATTCAAAAAGATACACGCACCCCAATTTTATAGAAGCATTATCTACAATAGCCATATTATGGAAATAGCCCAAGTGTCCATCAACTGATGAATGGATAAAGAAGATATGAGATAGATAGATGATAGATAGATAGATAGATAGATAGATAATAGATAGAATGATAGGTAGATAGATAGATAAATAGATAGTCATAACAAAGGATGAAATCTTGCCATTTGCAACCACATGGATGGAGCTAGAGAGTATTCTGCTAAGCGAAATAAGCTAGTCAGAGAAAGACAAATACTGTATGATTTCACCCATATGTAGAATTTAAGAAGCAAAAGAAATGAGCAAAGGGGTAAAAAAGACAGACAGACACACAGATAGACCAAGACTATAGAGAACAAACTGCTGGTTACCAGAGAGGAGGGGTGGGGATGGGTGAAATAGATGATGGGGATTAGGGAGTGCATTTGTTTTGATGAGCACAGGGTAATGTATGTAAATGTTGAATCACTATATTGTACACCTGAAACTAATATTACACTGTATGTTAACTAAGTGGAATTTAAATAAAAACTTAAAAACTCAGGCACAGAGAAGTTAAGTAGCTTGTCCAAGCACAGTGTGAGTAAGCAATAGAGTTACAATTAACATCTAGGCCCATGTGACTCCAAATCAGCCTATGCACTTTGCACTGTGCCACGCTGCCTGGGGATTAATGTGTGATCATTGAGGCTGCAGAAGGAACTAAGTTGAACCCTTCATGGAGCTCAACTCTAGGCCCTTCAGTAGAAGAAAGTGATTTCCCACAGAGAAGAAAGAGGAACTTAAAAATGGGAGACATGAAGAAGAGAGATGAGAAATCTGGTTCTGACAGTGGAACGTATTAGTGTGGAGCAAACAAAGTTACAGAGGGAAACAAACACATTCAACCAGAAACTAAAGAGCTACAGAAAAAAATGAGCAGAGCAACTAATACAAGGAAGGTGCTCAGTGTCCCTATTTGGGAGTGTGAATTGTCCTCATATATGTTTTCCCTTGCATTGTGGTTTCCTGCTTCCCAATTTAAATATAGATGTTAAAGGATAATACAGTTGGTACCTTAAGACTATGATGAAGGTTCCCAGGAATCAGAGATGAGGAAAACATAAAGCCCTTTGAAAAACAGCAAAGCAAAAGTTGATAGCAAGCTGATGGTACATATACATAATTCTTTTTAATTGGAATTTTTTCATGTTTATGCAAATACATAAAAACCTAACCAAAGAAAACTTCCACAGTGAGTTAAGCAAGTAAGGACTTCTGACCAAATTTTAAGTCACAGTAACAATAAAACATAACTCAAATGCTAAGTCTGAAGTTTAATGCAGGTATAAATCTTAAGAGAGGGATTAGAAGTAGATTTAAAAGGAGGTTGAAGTCGGGCGCCTGGGTGGCTCAGTTGGTTAAGCGACTGCCTTCGGCTCAGGTCATGATCCTGGGGTCCCGGGATTGAGTCCCGCATCGGGCTCCCTGCTCAGCTGGGGGTCTGCTTCTCCCTCTGACCCTCTTCCCTCTCGTGCTCTCTGTCTCTCACTCTCTCTCTCAAATAAATAAATAAATAAATAAATCTTTAATAAAAAATAAATAAATAAATAAATAAAAATAAAAGGAGGTTGAAGTCCCTGATAAACACAAATACAGTAAGCCTTTTTACTCATCCTGAAGATCAGTTACTCATCCTGAAGATCAGCTGGGCTATAAGCATTTCAAGAGCAGGAAGTTAGGTTCTGTGTGTGTGTGTGTGTGTGTGTGTGTTCCCAGTGCATAATGTTTGCCAATAATACGTATCCCATAAAAGTTTGCTGAACCAAAATGAAGTAAATGCAGTAGATTGCATTATATTCTCCAATTTTCCACTCTTCCCTGTATTCACACTCTGATTTTGCATCATCTCCCACAAAAGAAATGAGGTCTATACTCCAAACTCTTGACTTTGAGTTCAGCCATGATGGGACGTCAGCCAATAGAATGAGGTGAAAGTGACAGGGTGCCATTTCCAAGCCTAGGTCTCAAGAGCCTTTATGTGTTTCCACTTGCTCTCTTGCACCTTTTGGTCATTTCCACGAGAAGGATGTACATGACCAAGCTTGCTGGTCACAGAGAAGGATGAGAGACACGTGGAGTAGAGCCGCCTCAGGTAAGTTGCCCTAGCCAAGCACAATCTGGGTAACAGTCCCCAGCTGATCCATAGACACATGATGAGCCCAGGTGAGACCAGATGAGGCCAATCTAGATCAGACAGCCCTCATGAATCCCACAGACATATGCCAGTTATCTACCATTGTGCAACAAACTACCTCAAACTCAGTGGCTGAAAATAACCATTTTATCATAGCTCACAATTTCATGGGTCAGGAATTGGGCCTGAGACAT